GATAATGATAGAAAGATCTTAGGGCATTTTGTTCGAGCTTGTAATCTTTTAGTAGCAAGATTTATTACAGATGATGATTTGAAGGAGGCGCAAGATAGGTTAAAAGATATGGCCTACCTTATAGAATATACATATGGACCAGAATTTATAACAAGCAATATACATCTCTCACTTCATATCCCTGATTGCTGTCGTGATTATGGTCCTATATATAGTTTTTGGCTTTTCCCGTTTGAAAGACTTAATGGATATATAGTTAAATTTACTTCAGTGTCTTTCAATTGTCTTTAGTACCTTTATTAAAAAAATTCCTGTTATTTAGGATCATATCCTAATAGTAACCGACAAATAGAACCCGAATTAATAAAAATTGTTCTTAAAAACACTTTGGTGGATTATCACTTATCATGTAAATGGACATCTGGCCTTCTAGATGAATCTCTCCATCTTCTTGTACCAAAAAAAGCTGTAGGAAGTTTAGCAATCACAGCAGAAAGGGAGGAACTGCAGCATTTTCTATTCATGAGACATAATATGTCTATGATTTCCAAAATATATGGCACTGAACCATTACCTGGCCAAATGCTTAACCCATCATATATCAATATTGTTATGACTTTGGAGTTGCGAGGATTTCTATGTGAATGGTATGCAATATTATATGAAATGGAAAAAGAAGATGTGTTAGGATTTATGGATTTGCATATGAATCAGCATGCAAGACTACAAATTGGCGCCTAAATATTTGGATCTATGATTTCTGGTCGCCATGAAAAAAATGCGAATATATTTGCAAAATGGAAAGCAGCTAATGATGATTCAGTTGACACTTATCCTGGTGAAGTCCAATATTATTTCGAGCATGCCCTTAGATTTCCAGAATGAACGAAAACTCACCTTCTAGCATATGTCAAGTGGTATAAACCTGCACCTTCTTCTAGTATTCGGTTTAAACATAGTTTTATGGAGCCATAAATATCAAATACCGAATTATGGAAAGCTGAATACTTTCAAGAAGGTTGTGATTCCCTGTTAGCGGTTCATAGGATATTATGTTGAGCTACAAAATTTAGAAATATTACGGTAGGAAAACAAAAATATTTGTCGATTATACCTTTGAATAGAAGATTTAACTTGTAGTATGCCACACCAAATAAAGAGAATGATGACACATTTGATTTCCATTTCAAGCTTAGTGATAATCGTGTATAATATAAGCAAGAAGATAGTATGTCTCGTGACTTTCATCAAATGAAAAATTATTAATCGCGTATTACATAAGTATAATTTTTGCTCAACGAATTCGTTTAACGTGCTCAACATTAATTCAACATTTGAAAATTAACATTAAATCAATCTGAGATGTAAAATTAATAAAATTAATTAATTTTTTTTCGCATTAGTAAGTCGTAATAAATAAATGTTAATTTTTACGTAAGAATAATACCGGGCCTAATTTACAAAATTTTTAATTACTTTTAATGGCTAATTTTTTTTTTTGTACGATGGAAAACAATGGAAGATCGACATTTTAATCACTTTTAATGGACAAGAGACGGAGTTTTACGAATTCT